ATTTATATATATATATAAACTTTTTATTGTGAATTGAGTGAAGGTTTACAGACAAGAACATCAGTTTTACATTCAACAGATCATACACTTTGTTTCACCTCAATGATTGTAATCCCCTCTGTAGAACATCCGTTATCCCACTCCTCCCTATGGTTCATATTTCTAGTCCGCCCACCTTCCCATCCCTTCTCGCCATTGCCCTTAGGCACGTGTTGTCCCTTTGATTTGGAATGAATGACCGTTCCATCATTCACAGTGAACATACTTACTAGTGTTGATGTTCCCCCTGTATACCTATCTACTCTTGACCTGAAGGGTGGTCAAGGGCCACAGTCTCAAATTCCTCCGGTCTCTTTCTGACCAGTAAGCCCAGTATTAAAAAAAATTTTTTTTTGAGACAGGAGGTTTTATTGATGCTGTTAGGGGTAGAAAAGGCCCCAGGAGCTGAGTCAGTCAGCGGTTGCTAAAGGCCAAGGCACGTGAGGGCAGGTTAGGGCACCCATCTGTGAGAGAACATCTCGGGGAGGGGACAATTTCAAGAGCAAAGGCAGATGTTAGGTAGGGATGGCTGGGACCCTAACCCGAGGCACCACAATAAGCAACAACACCTGTGTGGAAAAGCTGGCTGAAATGGTCAGTAGGGAAGATGGGGAGAGGGCATGAGGCTGGCCTCTTGGAAAGTGACCCAACCTTGGCCTGGTGATCTCATGAGAATACCTGATATTCCCAAGTGCGGTGGGGCGGGGCCCGAAGTCCCTTTCCCTGCAGGCTTTTTTAAAGAGGAAAAACATTCAGAGAACATGGTAAGCCCAGTATTTTTTTAAAAAATATTTTTGAGTTTTGTTCCACACATTCTACAGCTCAATCTAATCTGATCCATTTAGGACAGTTGGTAGTGGTAGCCATTCCCCATCTAGTTCTTCTGGTCTTAGAGTCATGGAGACTGATGTTCACATGGTCCATTAGTCCTTTGGACTAATTGATTCCAATTCTCATCACTCTTCTTCCTTCTGCACATGGAGAGACCAAAAGCTGCACTTTCAATGGCTGTTCATGACCCAGACACTACTCACCAAAGTAGGGTATAGAACACTGTCTTTGTGGACTGTGACAAGATTTAATTTTGTGTGTGTGGGAAGTGTTGAGGGAAAGGATTCTTAAAAAATATGCAGGATCTTCCGGCAAGATGGCAGACTAGGAAGACGTGCTATTCAGACCCTCTACAACAAAGATACAGGAGGCTATGAAACAGACACTCTGGACAATCCTGGAACCCTGAGCTTCAGAGGAAAGGTTAGAGAAGTGGCTTGAATATGTACTGGGAGAAGAAAGTGAGCTGGGGCATAGAAAGATGGACACTGACTGGGGGACAGATTGCCGGCCAGATGGAACATGGCCATCTTGAAGTTTTGTGAGCAGCTGTGGAGGGACAGACAGAGCCTGGTATGATGGTGCAGATTCCCGCACTCCCCTGGATAGCAGAGATGAAGCCAGCCTCAACCCTTGATCTACCCCAGTGCAGACCCTGCTCTCTGGGAGTTCTGAGTCAGTGTGAGGTGGGCCCCTCCCTCCCCTACATTGCCTTGGCGCCTAGATTCAGGTGGGCTCTGCTCTAGATCTACTAAACCCACAGAGTCTTCAGGCCAGAATTAGACTAGCAAGAACCTTCATAATCAGCCTTCCTGGCCCCCAAAGCCCTCTGGTCTTGAGACACTGAAACTAGCAACCTGAAGGGCCCCCACAACCTACTTCCAGTTTGGGCACCCTGAACATAGACAATACCTAGGCCTATCGGAGCTCCATTGAGGGCTGTGAATTCACCATCGCATCCCTTCTCCATGCATGAGTGAGTCCTAATTTTGCCACCATATTTGAGGGACAGCTTTCCAGGGTATATGATTCTTGGTTGGCAATCTTTTTCTTTCAGACTTTTGTGTATATCATCCCATTGTTTTCATGTCTGCTGGTTTCTGCTGAGAAATCAAAGCTCAGTCTTATTGGTTCTCCTTTGTAGGTAACTGTCATTTTCCCCAAGCTCTCTCAGGATACTTACTTTGTCTTTGGTTTTGAAAAGTTTGATTCTGATATGTTTTGGTGATTTTCTTTTGGAGTCTATCCTTTGGACTTCATTCAGCTTCTTGTTATCTCCTCACCTCTCATGATTTAGAGAAGTTTTCTTTCAGCATCACTTGGACAATTTTCTCCATGCTTTTTATTATCTCTTCCTGTTATGGAATTCACATCACCCATAAGTTATTATTCTTCATAGTGTCCCACATAAATCTCATACTTTCTTCCAATTTTTTCATTCTTTTTTCAGATTATTCTTCTAGCTTACTAACACTGAAAGATTTATCTTCAAGGTTACTAATTCAAACTACCATTGATTCAAATCTACTCCTTTGCCCTTCAGTTTACTGTCCAATTCTGAGATCTTAGTGTTAATCTTCTGGATTTCTATTTGCAGGTTTTGTATTGTTTCAAAATTTGCATTTATTTTGACTATTCTTATAGTATTTTCTTTAATCTTTCTAAAGTTTTTTCTGTGTCCTTCTTGCTCTCTGCTTTCTATCAACGTGTTGAAGGGACCTAAATATCATTCTTTTTTATGCTTTCTCAAGTACCTTTTCTACCTCAAATGTTTTCTGGCTCTGTATCTTGGTCATTTGTTTTAGCCACCCTCTCTTGTTTCTTCAGCTTTTGTTGTCTCTGAGACATTATGGTGTTGTATTCTTATTTAATTGACCACTGTATGTTGGTGTGTACTTAGGCTTTCACCAGCTGTCTCCTGGAGGGTGTGATTAGAAAATGGAAATGTTTGTACTGTTTTCCATTCACCGTGGGTTTGGCTGGTGTTGGCTAATGTCTGTCATTGATCAGGTGGTAAAGGAGATATTATTGGCCCTTTTCCAATGGATGGAGCTGCAGAGGGTAAGGTTGTGGCTGACCTGCATGGGCCCAGTTGCTGTCTCCTGTTGGATAGGGCAAGAGGAGAAAACATACACAGAAGAAGACAAAACAAAAGCAGAGATTGTTGTTGTTAAGTGCCATCAAGTCAGTTCCAACCTATAGCGACTTGTATAGGGTTTTCCGAGAAGCAGCTGATGAGCTTGAATCACCAACCTTGATGTTCAAACTGACTTTGCATTCCAGGGCATTAACCCACAGCGCCACGCCAGGATTCTAAGCAGAGATTGAAAGGATAAAAATCAAGGGAAGAGAAAGAGAGGAAGAAAGAGAAGAAAGAATAAGCAAACAAAAACAATGAAAGAAAAAGATTGCCAACCAAGAGTCATATACCCTGGAAAGCTGTCCCTCAAATATGGTGGCAAAATTAAGACATTTTCAGATTAACAGAAATGAAAGGAATTGTAATAACAAGACCAACTTTACAAAAACACTAAAGAGTGTTCTTTGAGAACCAACAACAACAGACAGCAACCTGAGATTACCATACATGACACCACCACTCAGAACTCAATCCAGATATAGAATTATCCAAAGGAGATCTGGTAGCTTAGTGATTACGAGTTGGGCTGCTAACCTCAAGGTCAACAGTTCAAAACTACCAGCCGTTCTGCAGGAGAAAGATGAGGCTTTCTGTTCCTGTAAAGATTTACAGCCTTGGAAACCCTACACAGGGTCACTATGAGTCGGAATCGACTCCATGGCACATAACCACCACCACCACCAAAGTAAAACAACCTACAGGACTGATAATAGGGAAACACAGATATCAGCTTATAATGACGTCAAGTACAAAGCAAAAAGAGGGAATAGTGTTGTTAAAAAACTTCCCAATGGTGAGGAAGTCAAGTGAATTTTGAGATAAAATATACTCGTTTAAATAGGGAAAAAGTTAATAAATTACAGGAAGCTCAAAGAGAATTAATACAGGTTCAATCAAAATAAAAAAGAGGAAAACCAGAAAGATTTAATAAACATTAAAACAGCAGCAATGAAGAAAATTAAAGGAAAACTCATAAACAAAATGAACTCAGCACAGAAATTTATGTGGAGCAAAGAAACTAGCAACACCACAAAAAAACGTACAGCAAAATGACAGCAATTAATTCATGTCTGTTGATAATTGGCACTGTTGGATAATACTGGATTGCTAACCACAAGATCGGTGGTTCAAACCCACCAGTTACTCCTTGGAAACTCTATACAGTGCTGCTATGAGTTGGAACCCACTCAATGGCACTAAACAATTGAAAGTCACACTGAATGTAAATGGATTGAATGTACCACTCGAGACAAAGAGTCAAATTTTGGTACATAAAACAATGGAAGAATAATGATGAATCTGCAAATCACCTCACAACATGGATGAACCTGGAGGACACTCTACTGAGTGAAATCAGCCAATCACACAAGGACAAATACTGTATGAGACCACTGTTGTAAGCAGTTAAGAAAAGGTTTCCTTGCTAAAAGAAACATTCTATGATAGTTACCAGGGATGGGGAGGAAGGGAAGATTATTCATCTGAGAGAGGGTAGACACATGTTAGCATGGGTGATGGAGAAGGCAATATTCAACAAGAGGGAGGGAGGTGGCACAGGAAAGATGAAGTTGTGGAAAACACAAGGGGAAGTCCAAGAGTTCAAGGGAAAAGAGGTTAATACTGTGATCTGATGGTACATGGGAGGGATTGCGGTCATTGTAATGAAACACAGTGAATGACTTGAATGTGGGATTAATGATCGGTCTGTAAACCTTCACTCGATTCACAATAAAAAGTTAAATATGTAAATCCAGGAGATTCTACACTAACTCTGCTTTGGGAGTTAGAATCCTGCTTATTCCAGGTCTACGTTATTTTTGGTTACTTACTTCTCTGCCTCCCGATGAGGGGGCTCACCCTCCCAGGGTCCATGGAGATGTTCTCCTGGCAGGAGGTAGGATCCACTCCTATAACTATTTCCCCAGCTATAGAGGCATCCTGGTGTGGTGCTGTAGGATAAAGCACTGGAGTCGCAAGGTCGGCGGTTCAAACTCACCATCTGCTCCTTGAAAACTCGAAACAGGGTCATTATGAGTTGGAACCGACTCTATGGCACTAGACAGCAAACACCAGTCTAGACCTAGGGTTCTGGTGTGGTGCTGTAGGATAAGCACTGGACTGCTAACCACAAGGTTGGCGGTTCAAACTCACAAGCTGTTCCTTGGAAACCCTATAAAGGGTCACTATGAGTTGGAACTGACTCAATGATACTTAGCAACCACAACAAATGGGTGCATCCCTTGGCCTAGCCAATTTAATGGGTTTACTCCCTTCTACTCAGAGGGGCTTGCCTGTCAGGGGCTGGTTTTGGGGGCAGAAGCCTAGGTCTCCCTCACATTTCTTCTGTTTGTCCTCATAGGCACTGCCCTTCTCCCATCTTATCCTGGCCACAGGCAGCACCGGGCCCTTCCCCGGCAAGTTTAACCAGGTTTCCAGCCAGCAGGCCGCCATCCAGGCCTATGAGGACCTGGTGAGGCAGGTGAGCTGGCCAACTGACCAGGGGTGGGAGCTGAGCAGGTGGGCCTGAGAGCTGGGAGAGGCAGGTGACTATGCTGACACTCGGGGGGCAGGACCTTTGGACCTGTCACAAAACCTGTAAATGAGTCCGCAGACCTGCCCACATTGCTGAGAGATGGCTGTGTCCCAGACTGCTGTCTCTTGGGGCTTTTCACATGGAGCCCCCATGTGAACAGTGACTGCATTTTGAGAACCAGCTGGAATTGATGATCTCAGTTTTCCCAGCAGTCCTGAATGGTGAGGGGGCTAGGGTCTGCTGTTGGTGTTCCTCAAGGTGAGTGTTACAGAGGTACAAAGGTGATGTCTCTGCAAGCTCAAAGCTGAGGAAGTTTGGGGGCTCAGCTTTGACTGAGAACTGGCGGAGGCTCATCTGTAAGGTGGCCGTGGTCAGGGTTAGATAGGAAGCTTTGGGGGAAACAGCCCACAGATGCCTGGCCCTGAGGAAGCACTACCATTGGCAAGGGGTGGGCTTGGGGGTGTGTTTGACATGTCTTTCCTTCTCCCAGGTCCAGAGCTCACAGTTCATCGTGGTGGTGGGAGGAGGCTCTGCAGGAGTGGAGATGGCAGCCGAGATTAAAACAGAATACCCTGAGAAAGAGGTGCGGCCATGGCCTCGGGCTTGAACTCCAAGTGATTGGCTTCTTTCTGATTTCGCTACACTTTCTAGGGGATTTGCTCCGGACCCATGAGGCAGGAGGCTCAATGACATAGTGTGAAGTGTGTGTTCCCATCTATGCCTGTCCAATCCCCTTCTTAGGCTGCCTTCTAGAGCCAGGGCCCCCTGGCATGGTGGTAAGACAGCTGACAGCTGAGTGATGATCAGTAATAATGGAGTCTCAAGGAAGGAGAGGCATTACACTGCTAACTGACAGTTCGACAGTTCAAACCCAAACTCTGACCCATGTGTCAGAATTGACTCATTGGCAGTGGGTTGGGTTGGGTTTTTAGGCAGGAGCTAAGGAGCCCTGGTAGTGAAGTGCTTAAGTGCTAGGATGTTAACTAAAAAAGTCAGTGGTTTGAACCCACCAGCTGCTCGCTCCAAGGAAAAAGCATGTTACAGTCTGCTTCCCTGCAGATTATGGTCTTGGCCACCCCACGGGGCAGCTCTGTTCTGTCCCATAGGTCACTGTGAGTTAGAAATGACTTGATGACTGTGAGTATTTTAGGTAATTGTTTGTTTGCAGCTGAGGTCGGATCAGATTCTGAAAGCTGCTTAGGGCCTTTTTATAGTTCTATTTTCCTAGGCAAAGGCAGGTTGGTTTTGAAAAGAAAAATTAATAGGAGCTAATTTAATGATGTGATTATTTTCTGACAATTTGTTAGAAATATCATGAGTGATTAATATAATTTAATTTTATTCATTTTGGCTTGTGGGCTTAAAGACCCATCTGAGTCATTCAGGTAGCTCAGTGTACTTTCCAAATGCTTAAAATTAGTACACAAAAAGATCAGGGGTCCTGGTGTGGTGTTATGGGATAAGCACTGGAGTGCAAGGTTCATTTGAACCGCAAGGTTGGCAGTTCGAACTCACCAGCTACTCCTTGGAAACCCTATATAGGGTCACTATGAGTTGGAACTGACTCAACAGCATATAACAACAACAACAACAACAGATCAGTAGTCAACCAAGACACAGAGCCTTGCTGCGGAATCAGTTCTAACTCTAGCAACCGTAAGGGACAGGCTAGAACTGCCCATGGAGTTTCCCAGGCTGTTATCTATGGAAACAGAATGCCGCCTATCTTTCCTATGGAATGGCTGGTGGGCTCAAACCAGTGTTTTTCAACTTTTTCATTAACAGCCGAGCACTTTACCACCATGCCATCAGGGTTCCTTATATCAATAGTTGTTGTTGTTAGGTGTCATGGAGTTGGTTCTGACTCACAGCGACCCTGCATAGGGTTTCCAAGGAGTGGCTGGTGAGTTTGAACCACCAACCTTGTGTTTGTGCTTTATCCCACAGCGCCATACCAGGACTCTTACATCAATAATAACCAAACTTTGTTGAGAATTTAATTATGTGCAGTTATACGCTGTAGCTGTACTTTTTCAGTACAAAGTTCCTGTTGTTGTTGTTAAGTACCGTGGAGTCGGTTCCGACTCATAGTGACCCTGCACAGGGTTTCCAAGGCTGTAAATCTTTACGGGAGCAGAATGCCTCATCTGTCTCCCACGGAATGGCTGGTAGTTTCGAGCTGCCGACCTTAAGGTTAGCAGCCTGATTTGTAACCACTGCACTACCAGAGCTCCTTACAAAGTTCCTGAGGGTGGGACTATTCTTCCAATCTGACAGTGATTTAGAGAGTTTCTGAGTATCAGAGATGGGCCTTCAACCACGCAATCTGATTCGAAAGCCCAAGTTTTGAGCATTATTCCAGGCTGCCTCCCACTTCCCTGCGCTGACCCAGACAGCCAGTGGAGACATGTTTGGAAGCTCTAATTTTAGAACTGCTCTAATGTTAACATCAGCCTGATTTATATTTAGAAGTCAGTACATTGTATATAAATTATATAATCATTAGTGTTCAAGGATGCTTGAAAAGAATTTCCCAAGTGGTCACAGGTGAGGTATTGGTGCTTTGGTGGTCCTCTGGCCCTGAGGTGGCAGGTGGTGGTGGTGGTTATGTGCCGTGGAGTCGGTTCCGACTCATAGTGTCCCTGTATAGGGTTTCCGAGGCTGTAAATCTTTACGGGAGCAGAAAGCTTCATCTTTCTCCCGCGGAACAGCTGGTAGTTTCTAACTGCTGACCCTGGTTAGCAGCCTGATGAGGTTGAAAATCCTACACTAGGCATTGGGAGGTATGGACTCAGCACTAATTGGCTCCAGCTTTGGCCAAGTTGTTTCTCTGGGGCCTCATTTTCCTCATCTGTAAGCTGGAGGTGGGGCCGGGGAGGTGGGCTGGAGCATTTTGAAGGCTTGACATACATCTCAGGAAGTTCTCCTCAGTTCTTGGGCTTCCTTTGTTCCAGGTTACTCTTATTCACTCCAAAGTCCCCCTGGCTGACCAGGAGCTCCTGCCGTGTGTCCGGCAAGAGGTGAAGGAGATCCTTCTCCGGAAAGGCGTGCAGCTACTTCTGAGTAGGTACAGCTTCATTACTGTCTCCAGTTTGGGGGTGGCCGCCACAGTCAACCCCAGGCTCTGGGTTCTCTGCTGTGTCCTGGGATTGAGCATGAAACACCTCAGAAACCATCTTGAGCATTTGTCTCAGTTGTCTAGTGCGGCCTTAACAACTCATACCCCAAGTGGTGGCTTGAAAGAAAGGACATTCATTTTCTCACAGTTCCTGAGCCTCAAGGTCTCAGCCAGGTCAATTTCTTCTGTGAGCCTCTTTTCTAATTTCTGGTGTCTGCTGGCAATCTTTGGCATTCCTTGGCTTGTAGACACACCCTCCCATGGCATCTGTCTCCCCCACTGTCTACGTGTTTCTATGTCTTGTCTGCTTTTTAGAACTCAGAAGTGATTAGGTTTTAAGATCCACCCTGCTTAGGAATGCCACCATTAACAGAATAAAAGAAAACCTTTATTTCCAAGCAGGGTCCTAGCCACAGCTACAGGCCAGGACTTTGATACATATTTTTTGGAGGGGGGCACAGTTCAAACCCTAATCATCACCAAGGTTTGGTGGTAATGTCCCCGCTATCAGCACGTGTGCAGTGTGGTAGTAGATGGTGGGGTGGTTATTTCTTGCCTGATTAAAACAATGCATTTCAATGATTTGACTTGAATGATGATGTCTCTGTGATAAAGGGAACCGATTTAATGGTTTGTGTTTTGAGGGGGGTGAGGAGTGTGGCATTTGTCCTGCGCAAAAGGGAAGAGAACCTGTCAGTATTATAGACTTAACAGTTCACCATGCTGACTTCAGCTTCCCAATTTTTAATAAGAAGGGGGCTGAGGTGTTTTGAGTTAAGATGTCTTTGAGAGTTCTCCAGCCTCCTTTTGGCACCTGGTTGTGTAATATTGTTATCACCTGTACTTTTAGGCAGTGAATACCCTAAGCTGGCGTCTCTGACTTTCGTTGCATTCAACTTCGTCAGTAGTGTACTTACTTGGAGCTCTGGCCAAGTTAGGATGTTAAGCTGGCATGCAGAGTGCTGTGTTTGAGGTCTTGTGTTGATGAGCTTTTCTCAGAACTTCTTGGGAAATTCTGACTTACTTCCCCAAATTGCTTCTTAGAATTTTCCAACAATTAGGTCTCTCTGGGCCAGAGTACTGGAGCGTGGACTGGTGGGGAGGCGGGTGTGGTGGGAAGATAGGAATAGAGGACACTTGGTTGGGCCACAGGGGCCTAGCCTTCCTCAGCCTTGGGGCAGGTCTGTGGTCACAGAACTCCCCTGCCCTACATGACAGGTGAGAGGGTGAGCAACTTGGAGGACCTGCCTCTCAATGAATACCGAGAGTACATCAAAGTGCAGACCGACAAAGGCACAGAGGTGGCCACCAACCTGGTGATAGTCTGCAATGGCATCAAGATCAACAGTTCGGCCTACTGCAGTGCATTTGGTAAGCAGGAGGCCAACAGGCTGCCTCTGCACTCTCCTCAGGCCAGTCTGAGGGGAGAGCCTCTCCCAGAAATCACCTCTGCCCTGCATTCCCCATTTCATCTCAACAGCTCATTTGGTCTCTTCTGAATTTCAACATCAGACTCTAAATTCAGTTTATTGTCCACACCTGCTATGCTTTATTCCGCTGTGGAAAAGCGACCAACGTGACCAGTCTTCCAAAAGTCAAGCCTGCCCCCTAGTGATCTAAGAAGGGAACAAGTTTCAGAGAGTCAAGCAGGATCCCTTAGTTTTGTTTCTTCCACAAAGGCCTAGGAATTTGAGTCAGGTGTGTAGCTTTCCCCAAGCCCCAATCCAAACTTTAGACCACTTGGTTTTGGAATGGCTGTTTGAGGAGAGGGACCAAATTTAAGTTCAATATTGAACTATGATGAATTTAGCCAACTTGAGATAGAGGGATATGTTGTTGTTGAGTGCCAATGAGTTGGTTCTGACAAACAACCTTGTATTGGGTTTCTGAGGAGCGGCTGATGGGTTTGAACCACTAACTTTGCACTGCACCAGGGCATATGAGCTGATGTGTTTTGCAGCCTCCATGTGTAAGCTGGAGACTCAGTGGCCCCTTTTCAGGCCTTATGGTTGCGTGTGCGCTGTGTCCCCGTTACTGAATTATACCCGTCCCCAACAATGTGCTCCTGCTTTGTCTGTCAGGGAGGAATTATCCAGTCCCAGAAAATGGAAGCTAGCCCTAGCTGTGGAGAGGTGGAATTGAGATTTATAATGGACAGAGATCCCAGAATTTAATGTCCAATTGTCCTAATTTTGTATTTCCAAAGATAGATTCTTGAGTCGGAATCAACCCAGTGGAAGTTGTTGGGTTTTTTTCTTGTTGTTGTTAAAGAAAGAAGCACAATTTATCATTTGTTGTTGTTGTTACTAAGTACCATCAAGTTGGTTTTGACCCATAGTAAGTAACCCTGTATAGGGTTTCCAAGGAGTGGCTGGTGGTTCAAACGACTTTGTAGTCCAGTGTGTTAACCACAGCGCTACACAAAACCCTGCATTGAGTTTAAAAATCTAATCCATATTCTAAAGGACATTGGAATTAGTAAAAAGTTAATGTGCCTTTCTATAAAATGACACTTGTTCTGTGTGTGTTTTGACAGCAAGGAACCCTGGTGGCACAGTAGTGGTTAAGTGCTGGTTGGTAACTGAAAGCTTGTGGTTCAAATTCGCCAGTTGCAGATAGGGCAGTCTGGTTCTACAGGTTCACAGCCTTGGGAACCCAATGGAACAGTTCCCCTCTGTTTTATATGGTCACTAAGGAGCTCTGGTAGTGTAGTGGTTGTGAATCGGGCTGCTAATCTTACAGTCAGCAGTTTGAAACTACCAGCTGTTCCGCAGGAGAAAGATGAGGCTTTCTGCTCCCATGAAGATTTACAGCCTCAGACATCCTGTACAGGGTTGCTATGAGTCAGAACCGACTCCACGGCACATGAGTCGGAAAGTACTCATTGGAATTTTGTTTTCTTGACCAGTGTCCACACTGGAATCAGTAATCCTGCTTTGCCGGGAGACTTCTGAGGTTGGGACTGTAGGCAGGAATAAATTAACAGAGCACTTGCCTCTGACCAGCTCATTCTCACGTCCCTCTAACCAAAGTTCTTGGTTTGGGTGTTCATTTTGCCCGTTAGAGAGCAGGCTTGCCAGCAACAGTGCTCTTCGAGTTAACGAGTACCTCCAGGTGGAAGGTTACAGCAACATCTATGCCATTGGCGATTGTGCTGACGTGAAGGAGCCCAAGATGGCCTATCACGCCGGCCTCCACGCCAACATCGTCACAACCAACATTGTCAACTCCATGAAACAGAGGCCCCTCAAGGCCTACAAACCCGGTAAGGGAAGTCTTCGTGCTTCAGGCTGGCAAAGTCTTTCTTGATTTTACGATGACTGTCCACTAGAACTAAGTTTGAGCTGGTGACAGGACGCCTCCCAGCTCTTTAAGGTGGGGATTCATCTACCTTCCTGAAAGCCTTACACATTTCCCTGCCCTGAAACTGAAGGCCTCTGGAAAGGGTTCAAGCTTTGGGACTTTTAGGTGCATGAATGTTAAGCATCATTTGAGCTTGTGTCTGTGTGTCCCTTCTCTACAGGTGCTCTGACATTCCTCCTGGCCATGGGAAGGAATGACGGTGTGGGTCAGATCAGCGGCTTCTATGTGGGGCGGCTCATGGTTCGGCTGGCCAAGAGCCGGGACCTGTTTGTCTCCACGAGCTGGAAAACCATGCGGCAGTCTCCACCCTGATGGGGAGGCCAGGCGATGGGCCAAGTTCACTGCAGACAGGTAAATAAACCGCCGGAACACTGCAGACAGGTAAATAAACCGCCGGACAGATGGCACCTAACAAGCGCCAAAAGGCAAAACTCTTTTTCTGGAGTCAGATGCCAAAGGTGTACTGACCGGAACCACAACTTCTATAACACCAGCTTTAAACACTGGAGGAGAGGGGATGGGGATTCAAAAACGACACCCCCCTAAGAAGATCCTTTCTGAGTTTGGAAAACTGTGCTTGTAATCTGTGCGGGCTGAATGGCTCATGTGGTCTTGAGGACCCAGCTAGCCTTTTCTGTCCCAGTTCCTCTAGGATGTATATGTGTGTGTGTGTGGTGGTGTTGTGGGGTGGGGTGGGAGGCTGCCATTCAGAGCTCTCAGAGCAAGGCAAAGAGAGCTCAGTGGCTGGCATCCCCTTGGGAAGAGCAGGGTGAGACCATCTGGGAGGGAAAGTTGCCTTGTACCTACACCTCTATCACATCAGTGGGGCAGAGGGGATGGGGAGGCTGATACCTTTTATACCACTGAGCAGTTGCTAATAGTAGTCCGATTATGTCTTAATTCAATATTTATTTTTTGGACATCTATTCATTAATTGATTACAAATATTTATTGAACACATAGTATGTGTCAGTCACTGTGCCACATACATGGCCCCTGCCCTTGTGGAACTTAAGAGTTTAAAAAGCTATTAACATTCAATGAAGGAGTCCTGGTATGGGGCTGTGGGTTAATGTGCAGAACTGCAAGGTCGGTTTGAGCTGAAAGGTTGGTGATTCAAGCTCTATACAGGATCGCTATGAGTTAGAAACGGCTCGACAGCACTTAATAACATTCAATGAGATATGAACTTGACACATAGTATTCCATAAATGTTAGCGCTTCTTTCTCCCTGAATCCAATTAAAGGATACATAGTGAACTCCCTAAGGAGCTCCGGTCGCGTAATAGTTACAAATTGGGCTGCTAACCTCAAGGTTGACAGTTCCAAACTACCAGCTGTTCTGCGGGAGAAAGATGAGGCTTTCTACTCTGGTAAAGATTTACAGCCTCGGAAACCCTGTACAGGGTCACTGTACTTAACAACACTGAACTCCCTAGGAACCAGAGGTTATGCAACTACAGCTGATAAAAAGATTTAAATTTAAATTTGCCTTAGGCATTGTTCTCAGAAGCCTCTTAGTAAAGCCCAGTACGGTGGCCTCATTAGCCTCTCTGGCCGAATAGGAAACAGGGCTCCCAGCTAGTGAGCATCAGAGTTAGGATTCAAGCCTGCTGTTGAAATGTATTGATTAGTCATTATTCCTTCTAAATCTTGAGTAAGAAGCTCGATTTTAAACTGCCTCTAACAAAATCCCTAGTCTTTACTCTTGATGAAGCTATCTGTGTTTCCAGGTTTAGATCCTAATTACACACCATGGTGGTGGTTATGTGCCGTGGAGTCAGTTCCCACTCATAGTGACCCTGCACAGGGTTTCCAAGGCTGTCAATCTTTACGGGAGCAGAAAGCCTCATCATTCTCCTGTGGAAGAGCTGGTAGTTTCGAGTGCTGACCCTGCAGTTCGCACCCCGCTTCATAACTTCTACGCTGCTACCACGCTAGTTACATTTAAGAGGAGGGAGGTAGGCAAAAGCTCCCTGCTGGGTTAATCCAGCCTAACAAGGACGGCATTTTTATAAAGCTGATGGGCTGAGCCAGCCACTAGGAGTTTAAGGAAAGGCGGTGGAGCTACAGTGATCCTTTGGTGGGTTGTGACTTGGGTAGTAGGGAGCAGAGGAATGTTCAGCAGGGGACCCCTGAGTTTCCAGTGTGTAGGCACCGGCTCATTCCAGCTGGATGACATAGGTCTGACAGGCACCGTTGCAGTTTTGTGCATCTGTTTTCTTGGCCAACCCCAGTGCTATTTACCTAGAAGCCTAGTCACTTGGCAGTAATGTCTGCCACTGACTATCCCGGGATGGCACAAATGGTTAAGTAGTTGCCTGCTAATCAAGTCCACTCATAGGCACTGCAGAAGAAAGGCCTGCCAATTTTCTGAAAAAATCAGCCATTGGTAATCCTACTCTGATGTGCTTGGATGATCAGGAGTCAGAACCTACTTGATGGAAACGGGTACTGGTCTATTTTGGAGAGGATTTCCAATAGGGACGACCCTGGTTTGGCCCACATAGGTTAAATCTCTATCTAATGAATTCATCTGAAAAAATTCTGGCTCTGCCCTTCCTGGTACTGTGCCGTCCTGCCTACCTTTGTTGGTGGCCTCTGGGTACTGGTCAGAGTTCCTGGTATACCAGCCTCTCAGGGATTCTCAGCCCATCAGTCCAGGCTCTGTTCCATTTTGTTGTCTAGCTGCCTGAAGGATGCCTAGCCTGGTAGCAGAGGAACTATTGATAGGGGCTTGGGCCAAGGCTTGCTGATAGCTACCAGTATGGTAATTAACCCAGGGGCAAGTGTAACTGGGAGCCCAGGTAACCCCAGAGAAGATACTAGACTCTCCCTCCAAGGCACCACAAGTATGAGGGGGCGCACATTTTAGAGCATGCCCCTAGGTGCGACTTGTCCTCATCACATTCCAGAAGTTAGGGACATAGTTTTCCAAACCAGTAAAAATGGTGTAATAAAATAGTCTAAGAAAGACACTGGATCTTTTTTTTTTTTTTCACTTTCATTTTTTTCTTTAAAAAACAAAACCGAAGCAAAACCTTTTTGGGAATAGTAACAGATATTACTGGGGATCGGGGTGGGGTCACTGAAACAGAAGAGCACCAGTGAAGTATCTTTCCAATTTTCTCTCCATCACGGAACACAGACAACAAACAGAGCCCAAGTCCCTCTTCCCTTGGGGTTGAAAACAACAAAAAGAAAACAGAAGATTTTAGGAATTTTTAAAGAATGTGTGTGGATGTATGTGTAAAAGTCAATGCTAAAAATCTAAAACGAGGTCTGTTTTTTTTTTTTTTTTTCGTTTTGTTTTTTTTTAAAAAGTTCTAAAAGAAGAGGAAGAAAACACATGGAAAGGAAACGCTCTGGGAGACCTGGCTAATTCCACCCCAGCCTCTTTTGACCAGAACATAAAATGTGGAGGCGCTTTGGCGGCACCCTCTACACTTCTTGTGAAAAATAAAACCCCACTCTCGTGACTGAATCCATCCTCTTTCGCTTCCTGCCGGCCAAGCCAGCCACGCGGCTACTTGGTGTCCAGCTTGGCCATCTCCTGCACGTAGATGCCGATGCTCTCGCTGTCGAAGAGCAGGAAGTAAACATTCTTCAGCGAGGACCCACTGGAGTCGTCAAAGTGGGCTGAGATTGCCTTGAGGGTGACCTGGGCTGCAGTCTGTTTGGGAAAGCAGTTCCTACGTACAAGACAAAGAAAGCCCCTTGCCATTTGGATCCCTGGGACCTCTGGGAACCACCCTCCCAGGAGCCCGCAGGGTCCTTGTTTACCTTGTATGCCTGGTCTCACAGTGACAGCCTGAGGGGATAGGCAGGAGACCTTCCCCTCACTTTAGAGGTGCCGGTAATGTCTCAGAGGCACAAAGATTTCAGCCCAGGCTATCCAACTCATAGGGGAGTCATATCCTGGTTCCTCTTATCTCTGGACTCACATCTAGCTCACCTTTGCTGTTAAGTACTTCGAGTCGGTTTTGACTCATAGACACCCTGTATAGAGTTTCTAAGGAGTGGCTGGTGGATCTGAACCACCGAATTTACGGTTCAAACTGAGAAAACTAGTAATTTGGCATCCCAATACCTGGCCTTTAAAAAGGAAATACAGGTTCACATGCTCTCCAGATCATTACTGAGCCAAGTATGTACACTCCCAGGACTCGTGGGTGGTGCTGTAGGATCAGCACTGGACTGCAAACCTCAAGGTCAGCGGTTCAAATCCACCAGCTGCTCCTTGGAAATCCTATACAAGGTTGCTATGAGTCGGAACCGATTCGGATGCTCCAAAGCTGGCTTTATAACTGTTTTTCACATACTAGTGTTTCTGTCATTAACTGACAAGCACATACCAGTGGAAATTCAGCGGCACAGACTGGGCAGGGTTGGGCTGGTGAGTTGGATACAGACCCCAATCCCTAAGAGTGGCCCCAGCGACTCAATCGTAAGTGGTCATGTGGGGTCAGCCACCAAACGCTCTTTCGTGGGTATAGGATGGGCTTGTCCAATAACAATTATTCTCAGTTCTAAGTAGTATTCCGGCAGCCACACATTACAGCATGTGTTCCTAGCAAGGCACAGAATACAGCCCTCAGCGCCTTTGGGCCCTGGCTGTGGAGACCCATCACTACTTGCTTAGGTTGAGAAATGATCACAGCAGGAAATTGGGTCTTATTTTACCCCCGCGTGGCCTTCTCAGGACTGGGCTACAAGCAGAAGGTCTTTAAGTGTATGTAAATCTGATGTTATTTTGAGCACCTTCTCTTTCAGGAAGAAGGGGTGCTGAAAATGAAAGCAATAAATTACTCTGGCTGGGAGTGAGAAGAGCAGAAATGCTATATGTGAATAAACGTAGACATTATGTACCCGAAAAACTGCTCTCAAGCCCAGTTGGGATCTGTATAATTAAAACCATCATTCCCCTCACCCCCTCTTTCAAGCAAGCCCTTGGAAAGAGCATTCTTTCTCTTGGAGTGTTTATCAAAGCCCCTTCCTACCCTCAGCTGCCTGGCTCCCCTGGAGGACCCACTCAGGGATTCTGATTCAGGAGAACTAGAAGGGCAGGCTGAGACTACCGCTTCAGATACTACACATTGAGTGGGCTTCTCCTGTTTGCCGATCATGTGTTCTAGACAGACCAGACCGCTAATGGGAACTTTAAACATGGCAACCCCCCATCACCTCCACCCCCCCAAAAAAACAAAATCCAAACACAAACCTATTACTATGGAGTCAATTCTGACTCCCAGGGACCCTGTGTGTTACAGAGGGGAACTGTACCGTAGGGTTAGCTTCTGTGGCGTGGCTGGATGGGGTTAGCCAGTGGAGCTCGAACCGTGCCACTGGGGAAGCCTTTGGAACAAACGTGGTTGCTGAGTGCTGTCAAGTCGGCTCCAACTCCTCGTGATCCTATCCAGGGTTTCTAAGTGGCTGATGGGTTTGAACCACTGACCTTGTGGTTAGCAGACACATCACCTTGCCTCTGATTATTGGGGGTCTCCTACCTGACCCCTGAAGCTACCTTTCCCTGTGCTTTAAAACATCAAGGAGGCAGGGAACTGGCCTCAACCTTGAGAACTGCCTCCCCAAGACTTGGTCAGTATGCTGGGCTGCCCTGGTTGTCCTCGGTCATGTCTTCTGGAATGCCCAGATCTGACACATGTAAGTGGGAGACAGTGGGCTCCCAGAAAAAGGCTGCCAGGAGGGACTCTGAGAAGGCCTCCCACCTGGAGCACACATCTTACCTGCCACTGGGGAAAGGTGGGAACGCAACAGACTTTAGCTTCTTGTCCTCTGCCGCCGACAAGCAGTTTTTGATGGTCTCCTCAAGCTGTTCTTCACACTTGTCAGAACCCCACTGAGGGATGTGACAGTGGATAACAAATTTGGCAGCTAGGCCACTGGATTGGCTGACGGCAGCTAGATAAGAGAAATGCCGTGGGTTACCGTCTGAGTCTTCACTGTAAGCCAGGGGGTTAGGCTGACCCTCACAGGAAGTAACAGTGAAGTTGGCAGGACAATGTTGTGTACTTCACTCCTGATGAGGATTCTGAGGTAAGTTTACCAGAAAGTAGGAGCTGTGCACAAGTGCTTTCCACAGACAACACTAGTTTCAGACAAAAACATTAAATGCTAATGGGATTGTATGTCACTTTTATATGATGCTCTGAAGAGCAAACTGGCCACTCGGTTAAGCTACCAACTAAAAATGCTTCTCTTTAAAGGGCGAGGCAGTTAGAGCAGGGGAGAGAGGCTAACCACAGATCACCCACAAAGACTGCAGGAAGCAACCTGACCTGTCAGGAGAGTCTAGTTAAAGGAAAGAACAGGGGACTTGCACCAAAATCAGGCAGGAATAGAGAAGACTAGGACTGATCTGATGTGACCAAGAAACTTGTCATAATACCACAATAATAAGTTACGGCTAGCTCATGAATACAATTCCAACAGACAGATGTCATTGGAAAGAAGTACATCCGACCCAGGAAGAAATGACCAAGCTATGAGCCCTCAGTTATGATGGGAAACCATAGGAATCAGGAGGCAATGATCAGGAGACCCAGAGCCCACCCTGGAGAAAACTAGTATAAAAGTGAAACCAAGACCTCCCCCAATGCATTCCCTCACTCACGAGGTGGAAGCCAGTTCGCATCTCTGTGAGACTGTCTACTTTGTCTCTCATTTATTAAATCATCTTGCTTGCTTAAAACCTCTGCCTCTCTGGCTCCTTTTGTGTGCATATTGTGCCTGTTGTTGTTAAGTGCCATCGAGTCGGTTCCGACCCATAGCGACCCTGTATAGGGTTTCTGAGGAGCAGCTGGTGAGCTTGAACCACCAACCTTACAGTTCAAACGACTTTGCAGTCTGGCGCATTAACCCACAGCACCACACCAGGACTCCCATATTGGGCCTACCCCCTACCAAATCTTTGGAGGAACAGGAAGACTGACCCAGGACACTTCATTCGTGCTGGGACAAAGGTGCACAGTAGAATGATCTGTGGTGGCTGTGATAGGCTGACAAAGAGTTTCCCCCAAGTGTCCACCTTGCATTCCCAAGACCTGTGAATATATTAATTTACATGGCAAAAGCGACTGCACAGATGTGATGGAAATCTTGAGATGGGGCCATTATGCTGGATGATCTGGGTAAGTCCTAATGTAATCACTAACCTCCCCCAAAACCCAAACCAGTTGCAGTTGAGTTCATTCTGACGTATGGTGACTCCATGTGTTGTAGAGTAGAGCTGAATTCCATAGAATTTTCAAGACTGACCTTTAGAAAGTAGACTGCCTTTCTTTTGATCACTAGTAGAGCCCTTAACCATTTGTGCCACCCAATGGAATCACAGGGTCCCTACAAGCGAGGCAAGAAAGAGTCTGAGATTGCACCTCAGCATAGTGATCCTGCTTGGTCACCTTAGAGCAGGTGGTGGGCTGGCAACGTCTTGCGTATGGGGTCCCCAGCTGATCTCCTCCCTCCCTGCCTTCCTCGGACGGCGGCTGTTTATGCTGGACGTGTGGCTAGAGACGGGTAAGGATCAAGTGGAACCTCGGCTACTTAAGACAGAGCCATTGCCATGCTGCAATGAGTCTCAATGACTGGTAAGACTGAGGAATTCGCACTGACCGCCTCAGACAGGCAGCGTCCCTTAAACAATAAATAAGGAGGAATCTGATGCAGACCGTGCAGACCCGGTCAGGAGGTCAAGCCCCTGTGGGCCCAAGCGTTGTCGACCGTCCAAACCATAGGCTCTGAGGATCAGACTTTAGCTACCTAGTAGACATAGCAAACTGTCCCTCATCTGATTATTCAGTAATGCTTGTTAGTAATCTCATACATGAGCCCTGGATATCCACAGACAAATGTAAAAACCTTCCCTAAAAGCCAAGACTGTAAATTCCAAAAAGGCAAGTCCCACCACATCCAAAAAAAAAGCTAAAGAGGATAGAGAGAAACACTGTAAACTGATGATATATAGCGGGGATAATAATCAATGTAATGAAACAAGCTATGTGAATGGTTGAATGTGAAGCTGATGATGTGCCCTGTAAACTTTCACTCAATCCAAAATAAAAACATTTAATTTAAAAAAAAAGAGAGTCTGAGAGAGACTCTGGAAGACGCTACACTGTTAGCTTTGAATTTGGAGGAAGGGGCCATGAGGCAAGCAGCTTCTAAAAACTGGAAGAGCCAAGGAAAAGGTTTCTTCCCCAGAGTCTCCAGAAGGAACATAATCCTGTTGACACCTTGATTTTAGCAGAGTGAGATTTCGTTTGGATTTGTGATCTCGAACTAGAAAAGAATCCTGATACCTTATAATCCCCAAAAATATGGAATATGGGCCTGCTCAGATTATCGGAGAGATGCTCAAATAGCTTCCTGGTTAATGATGATGTAAGACTGGAGAAGACAGACAGCAGTGAGACAACGTTGGGAGCATGGGCCCACTCCCACACTTACCTTCAGCAACTTCCAAAGGGCCCTGGGATTTACGGAGCTCCTTGACTGTTTCCAGGAACTCTTTCCCCCCAGCCTTTTCCAAAGCTTTACCTGTGAAGAAGCACAATGGGAATGAACCCTTTGTGATTGTTCTTGTCAGTGTAATGACAGTGTCTGACACATGTGTGCTGTCGAGTCGGTTTTGACTCATAGTGACCCTATATAGGGCTTTAGAGGCTGGGGGATTAGAATTGCTGACCTTGTGGTGAACAGCCACAAGTGTAATCCACTACACCTCCATTGCTCCTTTGACACATGTAGTAGGCCAGAAAAAAACACAAACCACCCTTAGAAAGCAGGAATCAAATCTTATCATTGAAATTCTGATTTGCCAATGGTCACTGGTGGCCAGGGTCTCTAGACCTCTGCCCAGCCAGACTTAGACTCTACTTACAGGAATTCCTTGGGGATCGATTTGGTCATGAACCAGTCTGATGACATTATCTTGAAGATGACTGTTTTTCAATAAAGCCTAAGGCCCCAGTGTTTAACCCATGGTGTCGGTTAGAACCAGTGTTTCAGTGACTGGAGACATGCACCCCAAAGGCTCAGTTCAGAGGCTTCCCTAGAAGCTGGGCAGGGGAGCGTCCCCATTCCACATTGAAGCACTCAAGGTATTGGAGAGTCGCAACCCACCGTGCAGTTCAGGTAGGTGCACAGTCTCTTCCAACAGTTACTTTCCAGTAGGGGCATGGGAAGAGGCTTCTTTATTAACCTGTTTTGGTTTCAATTTGGAAATGGTGATTGCTGAAATAGATCCCAGTATCTGAGATATTCACAGATGAAATAATACTGTACAGGTCTCCAAGTCTCCTGTCTGGCTTTCATACTCCTAGCTAGTATTGATATTTTTGTCACTAAAAATCCCTTCTCTTTTAATTCCACTTTTCCACCAACTTTTAGAAGCCCCTCATATATAACCCAGGGAAGGTCCAGTCATTGCAACTTGTAGCCAAGTGTGAGCTGGTCTCCACAACAATGAAAAACACAGACATAGTTCTCAACTGCCACTCAATACATTCAGGTCAGCAATCAAATGGGGACATCTCAAAGGCAAACTGAGACCATCTTTTTCACTAAAGATTTTTAACAATAAGGCACAAAAGAAAAAAGACTCAAAGAAGTAATTAGTCTATAGGATTAAAAGCCCACACAAACCATGACCTCATCTGTCGGAGACCAGAAGATCTAGATGGCGCCCAGCTGTCTCTACTGACTGTTCTGACCAGAGACCCATAGACGGTCATGGATAGAAGGGAGAAAATTATCAAACAAATTTCAAATTCTTAAAAAAGGAACAGAAAATCCCAGGACCAACAAGAAGGAAGAACATGAATGTCGTGTGAGATCCTTACATAGAAAAATGACGACAGCAGAGACAGTGGCTGTGTGCTTCCAGGAGGCTGCCTGGAAGAATGTGCCCTTTGGACATTTAAATGAATATATATATTGTTTTGTAAGAGTACATCATATATTTTTGCCTTGTTCATTTGTGAAATATCAGATGTTAATGGGAAGCCGCAGGAAGGTGGGACAAGTATTACAGGGAGAGGACTGTAATCACTGAGAAGAAAATAAGTGTATGTTTTGCTGAACGTAGAGCTGATGATCTCGTCTGTAAACCCTCACCCAATTCACAATGAAAAGTTCAAATAGTTTTTGAACATGAGTCTCATTAAGCTTTTGATCCAACCACCAATTTACAAAAATACAGAGAAGACACTTGTTTAATAACACCAGGTGGATGCAACCAACCAAATCCATACTGTAGCAAACTTCAGGACAAACGGCCAGTTTTCTTGACAAATAAATTACAAAGGAAACAAATGATGAGGGAGAGAGAGAGAAAGAAACAGAGATGATGACAGGAGAGCCTGTAAATTATTAGAGACTGAAGGAACTTAGCAACCAACTGCAGCATATACATTTATTTGGATCCTGAGTCAAATAAACAAATAAAAAAATAGGTGGATGTTGATCATGTAATAGGAATAAGAACACTGACTGGATATTTGATGAGATTAGGATTTGTTAATTTTTAAAGGAGTAAAAATGGTACTGATTACGTTATTAAGAATGTTGTTGCTGTTAAATGCTGTTGAGTGCTGTTGAGTGGATTCCGACTCAGCGATCCTGAATTGAGTTTCCAAAGAGCGGCTGGTGAGTTTGAACTGCCGACCTTATGGTTCAAATCAACCTTGCAATCCAGTGCTTTATCCCACAGCATCACACCAGGACTGAAATTTAGAGCTTGTTCTGAAATATGCACAGGTAAAATGATATGGTGACTAGGGGAAGTGGATGGGAGTGGTGTTGAAATAGCTTGATCAGGTTTCTGATTATTACAACAGTATGGTGGATACAAAGGGCTTCATTGTACTCTTCAGTTATTTTTTGTGTATGTTTGAAATTTTCTGTAATCACATAAAATTTTAAAATCAGGGTCTGTTCTGCAATTGGTCTGGCTGATAGTGGTAGAGAATGGAGTCATGACGAGTGGGACTCCTAACAAAACAGAATAATGAAAAAAGCAATCATTTATCAAATGCAATGAGCAGATGAGGACATTGAGGTTCAGAGAGGATGAGAAACTTGCCCAAGGTCACACAGCAAGGAAGTGACTAGTGAAATTCAGGACATAGGTACAGGTGAACCCTAGAACCTAGCCTCTTATCCTCCCCAAGATGCCCAAGAGACTTTATTATCCATTGCTAGCACCTGAGCTTGATTTTTTGCTCCAATACCAGTGGTTTTTCTACTCTACCACTTTTTTAAAAATAGAACTATTCATTGTTTTTCTGATGTGAAAATCAAAATACTAAAGTACTATACAAAGGTAAGTCAAAATATACTAACAAAGGTAAGAATACCGCTGCAAAATCATGGAAAGATTAAACAAAATATCAAAATGTGAAGCTATTGTTTCTTCACATCACCTCCATCTAGATCTACACACTTCAGAAAGCGCTGTTCCCTTCTCCTGAAGAATTCTACACTCTTCTACTTACTCCGTGACAAAACAGCAGCTTTGGCATCCTTAAGGGACACATGCTGTGCTCCTTTTCAATGTTATTTGAGTTTGGGGAACAAAAAGTAGTCCAATGGGGTAAGATTAGGGCTGTAAGGTAGATAAGGTAAGGTTTCCCAACAAAATCCTCACAGGATAGCCCTTGCTATCCTCAAAGAACGTGCTTTGTGGTGATGGGAAAAAATCCTCAGCCCAATTTTTCTGGCCATTTTCTCACCAAAGCAGTTTCCAGTTTTCTTAGTTTCTTCATACTAAGCTCTGATGACCATTCTGGGTCCTTTGAGAAAATCTATCAAGATTACCACACCTGGTGGAGTTTCAATGCTTAACCTTCAGAGGTGGTGGTGGTGGCTGTATGCCGTGGACTTGGTTCCGACTCATAGAGACCCTGTACAGGGTTTCCGAGGCTGTAAATCTTTACGGGAGCAGAAAGCCTCACCTGTCTCCCGTGGAACAGCTGACAGTTTCGAACTGCTGATGTTAAGTTTCGCAGCCCGATTCGTAACCACTACGCTACCAGAGCTCCTTCAGAGAGCTGTCTTGAATTTAATTGGCCCAGCAGATGTCTCTTGTAAGCCATTGTTTTGATTGGACTTTGTTTTGAAGGCACCCTAGCAAGAAGTGCATTGCTGACAGAACTTGTCTGCCGCCATCCACTGATCACAGAAACATGTTTAAATAGGTTTTGTTTGGAATAAACCCATGGTATGAACTGGAACCCTAGTAGCAATACTTTTTGACTTGCGAGGAACATTGCAATTTGTTTGAGACTCAGACACATTTCAAAACAGAGCTCACTATGAAGGCCTCACTGCATATTCCACAAAGACAATATGCTGCATCCTGCTTTGTTGAGCAAAGAGCGCTGGTAGGGTAGTGTGTTACAAGTTGGGCTGCTAATCAGTAGGTTGGCAGTTTGAATCTACCAGCCGCTCCATGGGAGAAAGATTAGACTGTATGCTCCCATCAAAATGTACAGCCCTGCAAACCCGATATAAGGTTGCTATGAGTTGGAACCGACTCCATGGCACACCACCACCACCACTTTGGTGAGTAGCATGGGTCTTGATAACGTGCAAGTGGCCATCTAAGATGCAAATCAGGTGATCTCTCCCTAACTGGAATAAAGAAGAGTGAAGAAAATCAAAGCCTTAAGGGAACAGTCTCAAGGATTAACGAACCACATGAGCCACAACCTGTATCAGCTGGAGACCAGAAGCACTAGATGGTAGTCAGCTATCACTACTGATCACTCTAACTGGATTCACAATAGAAGGTTCTAGAAAGAGTGTGTATGTGGCTGTTTAGAACAACATTCAAAATCAAGAAAACTGGTCTGACAGAGAATGGTGGAACCACTAGGACTGCGGCCCTAGATACTCTTCAAACCGACAACCAAATCCACCCCCGGGATCACCTTGCAGTGAAGCAACAGACAGGCCCATAAAGTGAACAAACACAACCTGTTAGGAAGGCATTCCTTAGATCAATCAACCATATGAGACCAAAAGAGCAGCATCTGCCCCAAAACAAAGTTCAGAAGGCAGGATGGGTCAGGAAGGAAGGACAAATGGAAACGGGGAACCCAGGGAAGAAGTGGGAAGACTGATGTTGCCTTGAGGGGATTGTAACTAATGATACAGAACAAAATGTGTATAAACTGTTGAAAAGGAAACTATTTTGCACTATAAAAAATAAACTCGGGGAACAAACAAGATGGTGGATCAGGTGGAAGTGCGGTGAAGAGCTCCGCCAACAATGACACAGAATACCCGACCAAGCAGGCTCAGGGGATGATTCCCAGAACTCTGAACCACATATAAAGGAATATTTAGAAGGTTGGAAGGCTTACAGCTGGGGAGTTTGTAGCAGAAGCAAGAAATCCATTGCTTTCTAGT